CGCTCAAATTTAATGAATAATTTAATTTAAATTTATAAAATTTTATTTATTTTAATTTTAATTTATAGTGCATGCAACGTTGCCGAACGTTATAAGTGTTGTTTCAATCAATCGTGGACATTCGTCACCACGCCTTATTCTCATCACATACAGTGAACCGCAACGAGAATCAAATCAACTTTGGAAATTTAAGAAAGAGATACCAACTAACACACTGACTTTTCCGACAAAGACAAACCGCTATTATCCTAGTAAAAAATGCCTTGTTACATTATATATTAGAAAATAAAAACTTAAAATAATATAAAAGAAATTCAATTAAGGGGGGAAACCACATTAGGGGGTTAAAAAAATCGATTTTTTTATTGCATAAATTTTTAGTTTAACCATCGAAAAATACGTTCTCAAAGTGTTGAAGCAAAATTCGCATTTCTTTTAATATTTATAAGCATAGATAGATCCGAGTGCTCGCCGAGAGAGATTTTGTTTAAAATGCGTTTTTCTCAAAATAATAATGAGATTTGGTAGTTTTATTCTTTATAAAATTATGAAGAATATGAACCAATATTTGAGGTGATATCACGATTTTAAGGTTTTTTTTTGTGTAATTAGTGTAAAAAATTGTGAAAATTGAAGAAAAAATTTTAAACACCATCAAAATTAAAAAATTTTATTATTTTTACCCGGATTGAGGTTTATATTCTTAGTAAATAAGTTAAGAATGTAAGAAAAAAATTTTTAATTTCAGTTAAAAATAAAAATTGCTACACGTCACGCAAGCCGAAAAAAATATCAGGACCATCAGTGGTTACGACAGCATATCTGCCTTATTTCAGGTTAAAATAAATCAAAAGAATTTATAAATATTGTTCAAAACACTAATAAAAAGATGCCCAAATGTTATTGAATTTTAATTAATATAGTTCTTCCAAAAAAAAATCTTAAAAAATCCATAAAAATAAGCCACTTAATGCGGTTTCGCCCCTTAAACTTTTCAAAATTCAATTATTTTTAAAAAAATTCACACTCCAATGCTTTTAATATTCAATTAGAACCCTCTACCTACTCGTGTGACCGTTATCGTCTAAAATCGTCTATTTAGACTCACTTCCCACTTTCCCACTCTCACTTCCCACCTTCCACATTCCACTCTCGCTTCCCACCTTCCACTTCCCACTTTCTACTTTCCACTCTCACTTCTCACCTTCCGTTTCTCACTCTCACTTTCCACTCTTACTTCCCACTATCTACTTTCACTTACCACGCCCACTTCTCACTTTTACTTCCCACCTTCCACTTTTCACACACACTTTCTCCTCCTACCTTCCACTTCCTACTCCTACTTCCCACAATCTGTAACTTTCCCACACCCACTCACACTATGACTTCCCGCATTCCACTTTCTACTTTTAACTCTCACACTCTACTCTCACTTTTTACTCCAATTTTACACTTTCACTTCCCACTCCCACCATCTCACACCACTCCCACTTTTAAATGAAAATACCTGATTAACGATTAAGAGTGCAAGGTAGAAAGTGAGAGAAGTAATTGTGAGTGTAAAGAAGGCGTGAAAAATGGAAAATAGAGCGTAAAAGTAAAAAGAGGATGTAAAAAATAGAAGTTAGGAAGTGAAAGTGGAAGATAATAAGTGAGAGTGGGAACCCAGTAAAAAGAAACTAATTCAAATGAATTGAAACGAATTAACATTTTTGGTAGGCTCCAATTCGTATTTGTCACAAAGCGGGATTCACTCAAGCTCTTTGTATATTCAATTGAATTTAATTCAATATGTACCAATTTGTCCAAACGAATTCGCATTCGAAAGAAATGGCCAAGGAATGCATTGAATTCGTGCTAACGAATTGAAAAAAATTAAAGGCTCAAAACTTGTCCAGTGAATTGGTACGGATAGAAGGTTCGGAAGTTCAATACAGTTTCACGAATTCAGGAAAATTGCATCATGGCTCCAATTCGTATTTGTCACAAAGCGGGATTCACGAAAGCTCTTTGTGAATTCTTTTTAATTCATTTCAATTAGTTTTCGTTTACTGGGAAGTGCAAAAATACATAATGAGGGAAGTAGGTGTAGGAAGTGAAAGGTAGGAGTGGGTAGTGAGAGCGGAAGGTGGGTGTGGCAAGTAAAAGTGGAAGGTGGGAAGAGGGTGTGGGAAGTGGGAGAGGAATTGAATTCTTTTGCCGAATTTTAATAAAATTTATCAGAATAATTACATTTTTCGAGGAATTTGATTAAAATTGTATTTGTAAAAATAATTGAAATTCTTGCAATGAATTTTATTAGTTTTATGAAAATAATTAAATTCCTAAAAATAATTTTATTATTTATGAAAATAATTGAATGATTGCAAATAAATTTATAAAACATTTGTAAATAATTGAATTCTTGTAAAATTTTTATTCTTTTATGTAAATAATTAAAGGTTTGCGTAGACAATTTTATCACTGGTTTGATGAATATTGTCGCATGTCAATTTGAATTGTTAAAGAGGAATTTAACCGAAATTAGACAGGATATTGAAATAGAAGATTTTTCCCCAAATTAAAAAATAAAGAATCAAAAAATCTTGACGATAATAAAATTAATCGTGAAATACATAATTGCATTCAGCACAATTTGAGTATTTTACAGTAAGTTTAATTTTGATACACATTTTTTTCGTAACAAAAAAAATGTTTGCTAAACATAAATGCGGTTATAAAAATAACAGGAACAATTTTACTGATTTTTATGCTTTCTTTCTTTTAGTTCTAGTTTTGTAATGACAAGTTATGTCACTTTTCTTCTTAAGAAATAAAAAATCCCCTACTCAAATTTTCAAAATTTTTTTTTCACAATTAAGTTTATTTAAAAGAGTGGATATTCAATGACTACCAAAAAAATTGCCATTAATTTCTAGCAAAACAGTAATGAGTTATTTATTTTTTTCTTAAATAATGCAAAAAATTTTTATTATAAAAAAAGGTATAAATATTTAAAATTTTGAAAAACGATTAAAAGTGTTTTTTCGGTTTGCTGTGAACTACAGATTTTCATAAATGTTTTGACTTTTCCAAAACTATAAAAAAATTTTATTCACGGTTGACGCGTTTTGACTCAATATTAAAATTTTTTAAAATTATTCAAAACAATGAATTAAATATTTTAATAACGTAATTAATAATAATTAATAATTCAATTCAATTAATAGATAATTCATTGAATTGATTATCAACAATTGAAAATTTGAAATATAATAAAAAACAACAAAGGTAAAAACTGTTCTTCATAAACTTTTATTTTCACATTATAATGTTGAACAGGGGGGAAAATGGACGATTTTGTTTTCTAAATTTTTTTTCAGTAACTTTGGTTAATTTTTAAAAGCGACAATTTTTCCTTTAGTTATTAAAAATATTATCTGAATATTTTTCTATTTGATATGAGAAAATTGTTTTTAATAAGCTAGAAAAAAATTTGTTTTCCTTTAAATCACAACTTTTTTTTAAATTTCTTTTTCAGATAATATTCTTCTTTACAATGACTCAAAAATTTGCCTACTACAAATATGAGAATAAATTTTATTTTATATTGAAATAAATTATTTTTTAAAAAACTTTATCCACTGAAATAAAAATTAATTAATTTTTGGTTTTTCACGAGGCCATATTTCATATTTCGTACTTTTTTCCAAACTACTTGTTTACAATATGTTTATGGAAATATTTCTCGTGTATTGAAAATCACATTATTATTATTACTATTATTATTATTAAACTCAGTTTTATATAATTATTGTCAGCTTTGTAATTATTTCCAAATTCTTATTATTTTTTGGAAACTTCTATTTTTTTGTGTCTGCAAATCAGTTACATTCGTTTTTCAACACGGAAAAAATACTGTAGTAAAAATTAGTAAAATTTATCCTATAAATAGTATCGAATAAATACAAAAATTGACGGAAATTTCAGACATTGGTTTTCGTTTGAAAATAGTTTACTTTATATTTTTTTCCATGTAAAATTTTCTTCGAAGTTTTTTTTTTTTTTGACGTATTTGTTTCGCAAAAGTACGAAAAGTACAATAAAATAAATCTAAGTGGAAAAAAATTTATATTTACTAATAAAATGTGTTGAGGGGAGAAAAAAAATGGTTTTGAATATTATTCCATTTGATCTTATGTAGAATTTGCGGTTTCTCATAATTATAACTACTATAATACTGTTTATAACGGAACGCACAATTTCTTTTCTTAGGCAATAAAACTAAATTAAAATATTCAGGAACAATTTTTTTTTTTGAAAAAGCTGAAAACTTTCATAACTAGGACTTGAATTTTTTTTGTTTTTTTTCACTTCCGCTCAAAAGTGAATTTTTTTTAATATTTTTTTTTGGTTTTTCATTTTTTTATTTATGAAAAAAGTGTCATTTTGACTAAAATTTAATTTTTTTTAATTACTTGATTATAACAGAAGAAAATTTTCGAGACAAATACTTTCAGCTTTCTCTAAGCATACGAAATATTTACTAAAAAATACGAAAATCATTTTTTTTATAGCATAATGTGTAAATAATAATTATTGTCTTATAATAAGTCTTTGTCAGAGCTGAGCAGAAATTGATTACGTATACATTACTGTTTTTTTATTTTTATTTTTCTTTACAACTTTCAATTCAATACTTTAATTTGTTTCTAAGTCTTTTTTCTCTAAATCTAAAAAACTAAAATACATTCTAAATTTTCTTGTATAATAATAATTTCCCTGTAATTTTGGTATTTATAAATAAAATTTTACTAATATTTCAATTTTTTTAATTTTAAACCGTTAATATCGAAAATGAATTTCTGCTAAACTCAGAGGTAGGCTATTTTTGTTAAGAATTTTTAGAAGCACCGTATTAGTTTGTCTTTTTTTCTAAATCAATGAATCTTAAAAACTATACGAGAGGAAGATAATTAAAATAAAATAATCCGTAAGAAAAAAAAAATAAAAACAATTTGTGATTTTTAAATATTTTTTCACTTGATTTCGAAACAGTTTTAAAAAATTTTAAAAAGAATTACTAAAAGTTCATGCAAATTTACAAATCTATAACTAAATAGGAAGTACAATGCGCGTATAATAATTGTAATTAAATAATCACAGTCCCTTTTAATAAATATTTCTAATTTTCGTTTTTTCTAAAAAAAATGTTCAGCAGATTTTACGTATTTCACCTTCGCTTAAATTTCTTTCAGTTGAAAAATATTTCCAACAGTTAGATAACATTTTTCTATTATTTAAAATTGACCGAAAAGTTATTTCTATTGTCTATAGATGTAACAAAAATTTGTTTCAATAAAAGCACTGATTATTTTAGATTTTTTAAAATTATTTTGTGTAAAATAAAAATTTGATCACTATTGATACTTTTTTGAATTAAAATAAATTGTTTTAAACTCCAAAATTATTTTTCTTAACACTTTCTAATTGATTCTAAAATTATATTCCTTTTAAGGTTTTTTTTTTTGTTTCTTGGTTTAAGCAGTTTTTAAATTAAAAAAAATCGGGTGCTTTTTCGATATTCTGTTACGTTTTTGTCGATATTCTTTTTCTAAATTGTTTTCTAATTAATTAAATTTCTCTATGATATTGGTGATGTTTTACCAGAATTTGGATTATTCACGTTTTCATTTTCATTATTCAATGCTGTATCTTTGATATTGTTATCAACCTGAGAATTATTGTGACAGAGTTCGTAATTCTGCAAATATTCCACAACCTGAGAATGTCCAAAAGCTTGCGCCTCATCCACTGGTCTATTGCCCCATCTAAAAAAATTTTAATTTCAAATTAAAAAATCATTCTTAAATTTTATTATTAAAATAAAAAAAACTAATTTAAATGCGAAATTAAAAACTTCAATAAAATTCTTCATAGAAATTCAATTATTTTCAATACAATTCCAATAAAATTCCTCAAAAGAATTCAATTATTTTTAAAAATTTGATAAAATTCTTCGCAAAAATTCAATTGGTTTGCAAATTTTTTATTAAATTCTTTATGAGAATTGAATTATTTTCATAATTAATAAAATTCTTTCCAGCAATTTAATTATTTTAAAGAATTTTAATAAAATTCCTCGCAAACATTTTTTTTATTTTGAAAAATTTCAATAAAATTGAAGGGCTGGATTCTTTATAAGAAAAAAATTTAATTAAATACAATAATGAAATTTTTCGTAGAAATTCAATTATTTTGAAAAATTTTGGTACAATTCTTTATAAGAATTCATTTATTCTTAATAGAAGTTTCATAAAATTTTTACAAAGATTTCAATTATTTTCATATTTAATAACATTTCTCGAAAGAATTCAATATTATTTAATTTAATTTTCTTGAAAAAATTAACTTATTTTTTAATGATTTTAATACAAATTTTTCTCAAGAAATTTAATTATTTTGAAAAATTTGAATAAATTTCGTTATAAGAATTCAATTATTTCAAATTCAAAATTATAAACTATAAAAGAAATATTTTTAATTGAAAACAATTTGATTTAATTAATTTTTTTGTAATCTTTAATCTTCAAAACATTAAATTAGAATTTCATTAATTTAAAAATTCAAAATATTAGGAAGAAAAAAATTGTCAAATAAAATAGAAGATTAACAATAATAAAATTAATAAAAAAAACTAATTGTTTATATTTCACCTGTCTTTTGGATTATGAGGTACTCCACATTGCTCGATGAGAAATTCGACGCAATCCAAATGCCCTTCGCTTGCTGCCAAATGCAAAGCTGTCCGACCATCGTAATCAGATAACGTCATGTCCATGCCACTCAGTCGATGCCTAAAAACAGTAAAGTATTTTTTTTAAATTGAAATTATAAATAAAATTTTCCGTCTTTAGTAATTTTATTTCATTTACAAATCGTAAAAAAATGACAAGAAATCAAAAGAAAAAGTGTAGAACTAAAAAATTCACACATCTAAAAAATTGTAATGTTTTTATATTAAATTTTAATATATTATTATATTCATTTAATTTATTTTATTTCCCTATAATTCATTTAATTTTTCTTTAGTTTTTGCGAAAAAAACAAAATTAAAAACAAAATTCAGTGTTCAAAAATATATTAAATGAAGGGAAAGTTATCTTTCCTTTTCCCCTCGTTTTTCGATATGCGAATTTTTCTATAAAAATAAAACTCGTGAAATAGTTTAATGTTTCTTGTTTGTCATGTTTGTTTTAAGAAAAAAGCATCAGAAAACATTGCAAATGAAAAGAAAACTGAAAAAATATTTCTAAAAAAACATTTTAAAAAATCTTCTAAAAAAAGCAACTCACCATTCTGTTAGTTCTTTCAGACTGCGTGTATTTTTGTGTGCACGCGTTCATAATGTTGTGTTTAACAGTTGTGTAAATGAAAATAAAAATCGGTTAGTGGAAAAAAGAACTCAATGAAAATGAATATTAATAAAATAGAAAAAAAAATAAATATCAAAATAAATTAGTAAAGTAAATTAAATGGAAAAAAATGAATTAAAAAAAAGCATTCATCATCAATTTTGCTTTCACCTTCGCATTGCCGTTACATCACCACTAGCTGCGCTAAAAAGCAAATTTACAATTGACAATCCTTTCGTCTCATATTTGTGCCTTCTTGGATCTCTCTTATTTGTCGCGTGTTTCAAATTATCGTATCTGTCGACACACAATTAGCAAATATTAAACATAATAATCGTTAGTCTCAACATTTTCAATCATAATATGTGAATAATAAATAAATTATCAGGGTTACCACGCTTTTCTTCATTTCAAATTCCCTGACTTTTCCAGGTTTTCCAGGTTAAAAAACAGAATTTTTCCAGGTTTTTAAAACTACATTTGTTTACAATTCAATTTTACCTAAAATTTCAATTATTCTGACATTCTTCAATGAAAAAAATTAGAAATTAAAAAATTCAAATAATTAAAAAAAAATTCCATTAAACTTTTTGAGAAAAATTAATACTAAATTTCCTTAAAAATCTTGTCAAGAATTTAATTATTTTTATAGATAATAAAATTATTCGCAGTAATTCAATTATTCTCAAAAATTTCAATAACATTCTTCGAAATAATTAAATTATTTTTAAAATTGACAAAATTCTTCGCAAGAATTCAATTATTTTCAAAATTGATAAAATTCTCAGCAAGAATTCAATTATTTTCAAAAATGATAAAATTCTTCGTAAAAATTCAATTATTTTCAATATATTAATTTTTACGTAATTTCGATTATTCTGACATATTTCAATTAAATATAAATATTAGAAAATAAAAAGTTGAAGAAATAAAGAAAAATTCAATTGAACTTTTTTAAAAAATTTATTCTACAGAATTGTTAGTTAAAAGTATGAAAAGTTCAAATTTTCCAAGATTTTAATTTGAAACCTTTTCAAAATTCAATTATTTCTAAAAATTTACGCTATATTGCTTTCAATATTCAATAATAATCTAAAATTTTAACTGAAATTCATTTTTAAATCAATATTTACTAAAAAAAAATCCATGAGAATTCAATTATTTAAATACAAAAATAAATATTTTATTAAATAATTGAATGTTTCTTGAAATTGAATTTTCATGAAGAATTTTATAAACAAATTTTTAAATAATTGAATTCTCTTGACAAATCTTAATAAAAATTTTTATTAAAGTAGTAGATTTATTAAAAATCATTGAATTGATAAAAGTCTTTGAAAATAATTGAAATTTTGTTATGAATTTGATTAAAAATTTTGTAAATAATTAAATTTTAGAAGAATGTTACTTATTTTTGAAAATAATTAAATTTCTGCAATCATTTGTAATTGCTTCAAAATTCAATTTCTTTTAGTGTTTTTAATTAAAATTCTTCTATAATTCCATTATTTTTAATAATCAATTAAAAATATATATTGAAAAATTTAATTAATTTCAGAAGAATTGAAATAATTAAAATTTCTCAAAAATCTACGTTGTTTAAGACGATTTCTAATTAAATTCATTCAAAATTGAAATTTTACAAAATTTCAAATTAAAATCTTTTGAAATTCATCTGTACTTATGAAAATTGTAAACGCAACTTTTTTTTAAAATTTAATTAATTTTGAAATATTTATGTAAAATTAGATTTTAAGAATAAACTTTAGTTTAACAATTTTCTAGGATTTCGACCAAAATTCCCTTACTTTTCCAGGTTGCGTGGCAACCCTGATAAACTAAAAATAACTTATTTTGATTAAAAAAATATTTTTTATTTATTTTATAATAGAAAATAATTTTTTAAAAAATGTTTTAAACGAAAAGCAAGAATTATTGTTATTTATTAATTGACCGAAATTATTATCCAATTAATTCATTAAATTAAATTACATTTATTAATAGAAACTGAATATTGTTAGAAAAAAAATTTTAGAAAATGACCTTTATGGGACAAATAAATTTTAGAAATTCATCTTCATTAGAAAAAAAAGTTTTAGAAATTGCGATTTAAAAAAACTGTACAAAAATCAAATAATCTTTTGAATAAAATAAATTTTTAAATTTAATTTAAAAAATAAGGAAAAAGATTAATTTTTGAAAAACAAAAAAAAATTTTTGAATATAAAGCAATTTGATTTTCAGACCTGTGGAAATTAAATTCAGAGACCAATTCCTGGCAAAATTGAACGCCACGACAAGAATTTCCCAATGGATCTAAAGGTGGTGACCACGTGCAAATTCCCATGACATTTGGAATGACTACTAATAAACTTCCGGATACTCCTGATTTTGCCGGAATTCCTACCTGAAATAAAAATTGTAAATTAAAATTATGTTTTATTACCTTAAGGTAGAAGTGAAATTTAGCAAACAAATTAATTTAGAATGATCATAAAAAGTAAAATTACTTTTTTTTATACTTTACTTAATTAAGAAAATCTTAATAAATTCTTACTTTAAAAGCAAATTGTCCACTGTAATCGTACATTCCACAACTGTGCATTAAACTCAAAACATCTCGAACACTATCGGGTTTCAAAACTTTTTCCTCCGTGGTTGGACAAATTCCCCCATTCGCCAAAGTGGCTGCCATCACAGACATTGTTTCACAATTTGCTTCCATGGCACAGCACTAAAAATTAAATTTAAATAACTTTAATTATTAGAGTTACAAATAATTCTTCTTTTTCTAATTCGACAACCACCGGTTACGAAAAATGAATATTTTTATTAATAACTAGCATAAATACAAGCAAGTCAAATTTTCATACCCATTGTTAGTTACAAAAACTTTCTTACCGAAATTTAATGAAAATTTATTACTTTTTAAAAAATATAACTTTTCGAAATATAAAATATAATTCCTCAAAACTACGATTATATTTCAAAATATTTTTTAAAAGTAATAAAATTAAATTCTTTTAAATATAAAATTTATTTCAATGAAATTTGTCACAACTTTTAATTTTTTCAGTTTTTAAAAATATTTTCAGGAATTCAATTATCTTCCAAAAAGAATTTAATTGCAATTTGTCAAAAACCTTTTTTAGAATTTCTATATAAAATCATTTAAAACTTCAATCATTTTTGTTAAGCAAATATTTAAAAATTTATTTTTATTTATTTTATAATTGAAATTTTAAAAAATTCAGTTACGTTTTGAAATTTAATTATTTTACAAATTTTTAGTTGCAATTCTTCAAAAAAATCTATCTTCTATATTAATAATAATCGTTGTATTCCGGTAATCTGTTCGCAGTTTGAAAAGTTAGTTACTGTTTGCATTTTTATTTCCTAACTTTTTAAATAATTTTTAAATGTTTTCAATTTTAAAATTAATTTACCGGAAATCATTGAATTCTTGGAAAGTATTTATCAAAAAATTTAAAAATAATTGAATTTATTTCAAGAATTTTATCAAAAATTGTATTGGAAATAATTTAATTCTTGGCAAGATTTATATTAAAAATCTTTAAAATAATTTAATTGTTTTAAAGAATTTATTTCAATTTTCTTGAAAGTAATGGAGTTTTTTTTAAAATAATTTTTACTGAAAATTTTGAAAGTAATTGAATATTTTTGAAGATTTTCTTTAAAAATTTTTAAATAACCCTGTTTATCATTAATTGTAATTAACAATTTTTCTATTAAATTATATTAAAATTATTCATAGAAAATTAAAATCTTCTAAACAATTTTATTAGAGTTTTTGTAAAAAAAAATACATTTCTTAAAGAATTTTATTAAATTTCGTAAAAATAATGTAATTTTTTAAAATAATTTTAATTGAAAATTTTGAAAAATAATTGAAATTTACAAAGAATTTTATTAAAAACTTTTGAGAATAATTGAATTGTTTAGAAGAATTTTATTACAATTTTTAAAATTAATTGAACCTGTTAGAGAAATTTTATTAAAATTATCTTGAATATAATTAAATTTTTTCCTAGAAATTTTATTAAAATTGTATTGAAAAAATAATTGAATTTCTCAGAAGAATTTTATTTTTTACAAAAATAATTGAATTTCTCATAAGAATTTTATCAGAATTTGTTGAAAATAATTGAATTTTCATTAAAACTCTTGAAAATAATTGAATTTAATTAATATTTTTAAATATAATTGTATTCTTTTGAGAAATTTTATTACATTGTACTGAAAATAATTGAATTCCTCCGAAACATTTTATTATTTATGAAAATAATTGATTTCCTTTGAAGAATTTTCTTATTTATGAAAATAATTGAATTTTTTGAAGGAATTTTATTAAAAATTTTGAAAATGATGGTTTTTTTAAAAAAAATTTCATCAAGAATTGTTGAAAATAATTGAATTTATATTAAAATTTTTCAAAATACTCGAATTCAATTAATATTTTTAAAAATAATTGTATTTTTTCGAGAAATTTTATTAGAATTGTATTGACACTAATTGATTTGCTCTAAAAAATATTTTTATTTATGAGAATATATAATGAAATTTTTGCGAAAAATTTTATTAAAATTTTTGAATATAATAAACAAGCCTAAATATTTTAAATAAGTGAATTCTTTAAATTTTGAATCTACAATCATTCAAAATTTAATTAAATTAAAATTAGAACTACAATAATTCTTTCAATTCTTAAAATATTTTCTAAAATTTTAACTAAAATTCTTCTTCAAATCAAATTCTTATAATAAAATTGTACGAGAATTCAATTATTCAAGTACAAAAATAAGTGATAAAATAATTGATTCTTTCTAAAAATTGAAACTTTTTTTTTTAATTTAAGAAAGAAAATTCATAGACTATTTTAAGGTTTCGAATAATTTCGAATAATTTGATATTTTGTTGAATAAAATTTCCTTACTTTACTCGAAAGAATCAAGAATCTTAAAGTGCAATTTATCTTCGAAAGTGTACGAAAATTTTAACCATATTGTCAACAGATGAGAGGAAATTCTACCTGGAAATAAAAGTCCATAACTGTTTTCAGGTCGACTTTGTCCGGGTAACATTTGTGCTCACGCATATAAAAGCCGAGGGCGTAATTTCTATCCGCTGCCTCACGTTCCGAGAGAAAAACGGCATTATTGAAACCCAAATTTTCACCTCCTGCTAAACGCTTGAAATAATTCATCGTGAAGTCGAATTTTTCAGCTAATGTCATTTCTGGCTTTATTAATGCCTTTAATAATGAACAAATTAAAATTGCTCCCGCATTTATCATTGGATTGTGTGGCTTTTCTGCAAAAAATATGCAAAAAATATATTTAAAACTGTAGAATGATAATTATTTATTTATTAATTACTAAATTGATTTTTTGTAAATTATAATTTGTTTAAAAATTTTTAAATTTGATTTTTTTAATCACTAATCAAATTAATAAATTTTATTAAAATCTAATTCAAAAAATTTAATTATTTTCAATTCAATTTCACAAAATTTTAATTAATTCTTGACATTTCCTTAATAAAATATTTAAAAATTCACATCTATCTTTAAAACATTGTGTTAAGAATTTAGAAATATTTAAATTTAAACAATCAAGTTTCGATAATATAAAAAAAGATAATTAACATTTAATATTCATACTAGCATTAGATACCTACGCGTGTTAAAACGCGCGTGCACATTCTAAGTCAATTATTAAAAGAATACAACTTATGTTTATCATTGATACTTATTATTACATTTAAAAAGTAATTAAAGGGGAAATCAATTAACATTAACAATTATTGTTTTCATTTATTTCTAAAAAATCAGAATTTTTTTTAAATCGCGATTAAAAAATAATAAATTATACAAATTTTTTTACTTTTAAAAAATGCTTGAAATTTGATAAATAATATTCCAATTTTTCTTAAAAATAAATAAAAAAAATCCTGCATAATTTCGATTTGTCAAACAAGATTTATTAGCAAAACTTTTGGTTTTTTATGGAAAAAAAATTGCATGATTTTGATTTGTGAATCACAATTTTTATATTATTATTAAAAAATTATAATTTGTTTTTGGAATAAGGAAAATGATTATCTTTCAAAATTTGGCGCGACGACGAAAAAACATAAATAAATAAAATCGGTAATTTTTAAAAATTAATAAACATCTTTTTGAGTTATAAAAAAATAAAAAATAATGTAATTCTAGGTCAATTATTACAAAATACAATAATTAATTGTCATCAATTATAAATTAAATAGTAACTGTTACGCGCGCTAGCGCCGGAAACGTGATATTCAATTTATTATTATGCAAATTACAAAATTTTGTATTTTTAAATTTGAATTTTTGAATAATTTCAGATTCAAACTTTAAAAAAATTCAATTATTAACTAATTTACTAATTAATTCCAATTCTTCTTTATTAATTTCAAAAATTTTAATAAAATTAGTCGCAGGAATTCAATTATTTTCATAAATAATAACATTCTTCGTAAGAATTTAATTTATTTTTATAAATAGTAAACTTTTTTGAAAAAATTTAATTAATTTTTAAACAAAATTTTAATAAAATTTTACGAACGAATACAATTATTTTCTGAAATTTTAATAAATAATCCTTCTAAACAATTCAATTTTATTTATAAATAGTAAAATTCTTTGCAAAAATTCAATTAAATTTTTCAAAAGAATTCAATAATTAAATGTTTAATTACAATTAGTAATAAATCACGATTATTTTAAAAACTTGAAACAAATTTTTCATAAAATTCAATTCTTTTCAAATAAAAACTTTAAGAAATTCTTCAAAGGAATTTAATTAGGATTTTAAAAAATTTTAACAAAATTCTTCGCGAGAATTCAATTATTTTTCTAAATAATAAAATTCCTCGAAGGAATTCAATTATTATCAAATTTTTTGATAAAATTCTTTGCAACAGTTCGATGATTTTCAATACATTAATTTATTTTAAAATTGAAAATATTTAAAAAGAAAAATTTTTAAACAAGTTATGAAACAAAAAAGCAAACAATAGCTAACTTTAAACTGCGAACAGATTACCGGAAGACAACGATTATTAATATAGAAAAAAAGTTTTACTTATTACTTCTAAAAATACTTCAGATTTTGTTAAAGAATTGTGAGTGAAAAACAGAAATGATCCAAATTCATTACTTTAAAATAAAAAAACAGGATTTTATATAAAAATTGTGATTATGAAATAAAAATTATGCAAATTTTTATCATTAATTTCTAAAAAAAAGAAATTATAATTTCGTTAAAAAAATTCTGATTAAAAAATATAAATTATATAGAGATTTTTTTTCAAAAGAGACGAAAAATTTTGTAACCAAAAATTATGAAAATTTTTTCCTACTTTATACGAAAATCATTTTTAAGTTAATTAAAATTAATAACTTCAATTTAATATCAAATTAAAATAAATTTAATTATTTACAGAATTAAGAAAAAATCAAGTTATTGTTTTTAAATTCATTGTGATTAAAAAGTTTTTTAGATGAAAAAAAAAAATTCATGGATAATTTAAGAAGAGAAAACTCACTGTTATGGTCAAGTACAAGTTCATTGAAATTTCTTCCGGACGGTTCTTGACCAACATATTGATGAACCATTTCTTGACCCAATCTTTCAAGGGCAATAGCATAGGTCAATGGTTTACTGCAACTCTGAAGTGTAAATGGAATTGACGTATCGCCAATACTAAATCGTTGCCCATCAATTGTACAAACAGAAACACCCCAATATTCTGGATTCATTCTAGCTAATTGAGGAATGTAAGAAGCAACCTTCCCCTCTGTATTTGTCTTGCATTTCCAATAAAAATCTTCTATATGCTTTATAAATCCAGCCCAGTCTGGAATTATAAATTGATGTCTAAACGCTCTCGATATTAGAACAATATTTGGACTAACAATTCTGTAAAATAAACAAAATTTTATTAATCAACATTTTCTTTTGAAAATTTTTCAAATTATTCAATTAATTTTAATAAAGTTAATTCATAATTTGTGAGTTAACTACATTTTTTGCCTTCTATATTAAAATGAATTTCATTAACGATTAAAATAAAAAATTAAAATTAAAATTATTGACAAATTTATAGACAAATAATATTGTTTCTTGAATGTTTTATATTTTCTTTTGATATTGAAGATTTGCAAAATGATTCTTTAATTTATCGCTAATGTAGAAAGTAATAAAAACACTTTTGAATAAAATAATTAATTTTATTAAATTAAATATTAATATTAATAATTAAATACCTTTTGAATTGTTCTCGATCTAATTTTTGTGTTTCGTGGGATATGCCTTCGTGACCACCGGTTTTTATATGCTCTTGTTTTAAATTTTCAGTCAATTCTTGTAGCCGAGGATCATTTTTCCTTAGACCTGTCGTTCTCAAAGCCTGCAAAACAGTTTCATAATTATTATACACATACTTTTATTATTTAACTATTTATTATTTACTTTTACTATTTCTTTGTTTTATTATTTTTTACTTTTATTAAGTTCAATAGTTACCAATTAATTAATTTATTTATTAATAAATAACTATAAAAATTTTTTTTTTAAATTGTTACAAGAATTTTCATTAAAATTTTCACCATAATTAATTAAATTCTTTACTACTACAATAATAATTAAATTTTTTTAAAACAGTTTTATCCATTTTTTTGTTCGCTTTATGTAAAATTCGTGTTTTACTGTAATCTTCAAAAATAATTTTTTTTTCGCCAAAATATATTTATTAGAAAAAAATTCGTTATTGCACAACTCTCTACTCACTGCTAAAAATTTTCCAACGGGCAAAAGACCGGTATCTTCATTTTTGAACATGTCGAAGAGAACATCTTCAACATTACTGGCTTGATCTTGATCTCTGGTACTGAAAACAAAAAAATAAATTAATTTTTCTTTTAATCAGAATGTATAAAAAGTGAATAATAATAATTCCACTAAATATTAATAACAATAAATTTAAATAGGAAAAAAATTAAATAATTAAATAGAAAGAAGAAAAAAAAGCCCAGAATATAAAAAAAGTAGGACTATTTATTAAATTCTAAATTATTAAGTAGAAAATAAATAGAAACATTCTGCAAATCACAAAATACTAATTAAGATCAGTGAAATAAATAAATAAATAAATTTGCTAATAACACAATATTCAATATAGCAAAAAGTAGAATTTTTGAAAGAAAATACCTTTTTACAAATACATTAAACAAAGTAATTATTAAATTGCAAAATATACTTTGGCAATAAACTTAAGTACAATTAGTAATAATGAATAAATCTATTTTCAATTATGGAACAAAAACTAGAAGATATTTTTAAAAAATAAGGAAATTTACTAATGTCTCTAAATTTAAAATAATTTTGTAAATATTAACAAAAAAATTGAATATTCTAATGATATTTAAAAGTAATTAAATATTTAGGTAAAAAAAAAGAGACAAAGAACAAATTTCAAAAATTTCTAATTTTTTTTTTAATAATACTTTTTCAATTTTTATTTCAAATTATTTAAAATAAACTTCAAATATTTTAATTTCAAATTTTCAGACATAAAAGAAAATATTTTTTACTTCAAAATGATTTGGAGCTTAAAAAAATATTTAAAATTGTTAGAAATAAAAAAATATTTGTATTTAAAATTGTTGGAAACAAAAAAAATGTTTTTATTACAAATAATTCGAAATAAAAAACTATTTGTATTTCAAATGTTTAGAAATAAAAAAAAACATGTTTTTATTAAAAATGTTTAGAAATATATCAACATTTTTATTTCAAACCGTTTGGAAATTTACTTTTATTTCTAATGAGTTGGAATAAAAAAATATTCGTATTTCAAATTGTTAAAAATAAAAAAACATAATTTAATTTTAAACTGTTTAAAAGAAAAAAAATACTTATATTTGAAATTAATTTAAAAAAAAAAATTATACATATTTTTATTGAAAATTCGCAAAGATTTGTTAACTTGTTATAAAAAAATTCTCACTTGTGCAGGTTATCAATAATTAATGATATTATTTATATTAAGTATTAACTGTTATTATTTATTAACTAATTAATAAGTACTTTAGGATATAATTTTATTTAATAAAATGATGTCAAATGTAATAATTAACGATTTCTCATTTCTACTGTTTTCATTCTAGAATTTCCTGTAAACAAAATTATTTTTTTCCCTAATATTTTATACATTTAATAATGTTTTATTTATGAATCGCATTCTTTGCTGAGAAAATTATTAATTAATTACAATGATAAAATAATTATTATTTATGATAGTGAAAAACAAAAATACCTGTATTTACGTTTAAAAATGAAATTCGACACTGATTTTGAAAATTTAAACCAGGAAATTCGCATGTTCTTTTTTTCTGTTCAATAAAAAATCAAATTTCAAGATTTTGACAGTAAATTGAAAAATATTTTTTGACACCTAACCTGATGGCTTTATTTCCAATTTACATAGAGTCAAAAACAATTTTTTGTTGTTGAAATATTCAAACTTCGGCTTTTTAAAAATAGAAATTTGTGTAAAAAAATTTATTTTTGAAAAAAATATTAATGATTAAAAAAACAACTTGTAAACAAAAATGTAATAATTGCGTTTTAAGAGAAAAAACGAGGAAACTAGCAAAGAAAAGAATTAATCATGCTTCTCTAAAATTAATTTAAGAGGGAAAATTAAATTTATTTCACTAATTATTAATAACTATATTAAAACTAGAAGCCGCATTTGAAAATAAATTATAAATTTTTCTTTGTTTAATTTCAATGTTTTTCCATGCAAAATTACATGGTACTCACTACATATAATGGCTGTCATGAATAAAGCTGTAATTACTGTAAAGAAAATACATTATCGTTAAAAGTGCTATTTTTCATTTTTGTAACACTTTTATTAATTTTTTTTTATTTCTCTTATTATTTAACGTACGTTTTGAATTAAATAATAATTTTGTCAATTTTTTCCTCCCAATTGACAAAACTAACAAATTTTGCCAATTTTTAATCAATTGGTTTACTTTAAAAAAGGAAAAAAAACACTCAAAAAATTTCCAACGTCAATTTTTTTTTCTTGTAAGTAAATAGAAATTTTTTTCAGGCACACAAAACCCTGACATTAAACAAACGATTTGTTAAATTGCCCTTTCTTTTAAAACAAAAATATTAGTCACTTATTTAAACTGAGTAGATTTTTTTTGAGATTTTCAAATAAATTTTTTTTTTAAATAAAAATAAAAAATAGAATAAAACTTTTAGTATACAGTTTTGTTAAGAAGCACAAATTTTATTTTAAACACACGCTTAGAGACTATTTTAATAATTTGTTTTCTCATAAATTAAAAAATTAGTTACCTAAATTAAAAGTAAAAAAAAATATTTACGAAAATACACCCGAATTATTTTTATTTTAATAATATTAATAATTAACGGTATTATTAATATTTAACGTTAATAATCAACGGTAATATTAATTATTAATAATTATTAATATATTAATAATTATTATTATTGCTATTATTTAATTTAATAATTTAACAATAATTTATGAGAATATAATTAAAAAACACTCAAACAAAAATGCCTCGTGTGTTAAATTGCATTGAGAAAATGAAATATGTATATATTGACATTACATAATATTGAACTGCATCGTAAATTGGCTGAAAATTGCAATTAATTAATTAGAATCAACATTGAAAGCAAATTTTTAGTACCGTGTTGGCACGCGCTCTAATTCCAAGGCACTTCCATAAGCTGCATCCAAATACCTGGCTGTTCCTAATCTCATTGACGCTGGGACCGCAGCCTTTTTCTGTAAAATATCAAAAATTATCAAAATCTTCTCTATAACATTTTAAAATATAAATTTTTTTTTAATTCATTTTTTAAATATAATTTTTTAATTTAGTAAAAAAATCCGCTGACGTAGTTTGTGTTAAAAGCGCAGAAGATATCCACCCGAATTTTTTTTTTAAATAAACCATTTTTAGATATTCTGAGTCAGTGCTAAGTATTGAGAAGAATGAGAAGCAAAAAAAGAAAAGAAAATTTCCTCTTTATGTCAAGGAAAATAAAAATAGAAATTTAAAAATATGAAAGAATAACATTTTTAATACCAAAAACGAAAGAAAAATAAATTGTTCTTTAAAAAATTCTCGTACAATTAATAATTAATAATTTTATTTATTTTTTATGTTACTTAATATTTTATTTAATTAATAATAGAATAAATAAAAATAGAAAGAAAATTTGAGATAAAGAAGAAGGAAAGGAAAAAAAAGAAAACTAATAATTGGCTGGGAAATTCAAATTAAGTATTAATAAAGTAAATGAGAAGAAAATTGAGTAAATAATAAAATATATTAAAAGAAATCCTCGGTAGTCGCAGTCGTTAAACGCTCACGTTGAGAGAGTGATGTCTTGGGTTTAGGGTTCAATTCCCACCGTTGGAGTTCAAATTTAAAAATTTCCAATTCCATATAATTAATAAATGTATAATTATAAATAAATAAATAAAATAAATATAAAACAAGTGATTAATATTAATAAATTATTAATATTAATGATTAATGTTAATAACTTAATGATTAATAAAATAAATTAATTTTTAATAAAATAAATAGAAAATTAAAAATAATATTAGTTACTAAAATACAATCCTTTCTCTATGAGAAAGCAATAATATTAATTAATGATTTTAATGATAATAGAGAATAATAAGTAAAAAATTGAATAAATAATGAAACAAATGAATAGAAAATCAAATAAATTGTAACTAAAATTAATAGTAAAATAATTAAATACTTAAAAGTACAAATGATTTACATAATCTTATAAGTATACAAATTAACAAATTAGTTCACTCGTTCATTGACTTACGATAAGAAAAGGAAACTCAAAAGAAAAATATTATTATTTTAGTCATTTTTCATTTTACCAGTTATGATTTTTAATAAATTTTCCCTCTTTGAATAAAACTAGAAATTTATTTCTCGTCATTTCCTTAATTTTTAATCATTTTTTTCTTCCTGAATTCAGAAAACAAATATTTGACCTTTTTGAAAATTACAAAAAAAAACATATTTAGGAGTAAAATATCTATTTCATTATATTTGTTTTTTGTTTAATATAGGATATAATTTTTATTCCCATTTCTGTTTTTTATTTTCTTCTTTTTGAATAAACAATTGAACTGTTATCGTGGTTGAAAAATTAATTTGAATAAAATTGTTATGTCAATATTATGTCACAAAATGTGAGAAGGAAAGTTAACAATGGAATATTATTTATCATTACAAACAGTTAGTTTTCTCAAACTTCGACAATCGATAAAATAATGTTTAAAATTTAATGTACTTTTTATTCAGTTTCAGGAGTTTCAGTAATTGAAAATAAAAAATTAAACTGTTTTTTAATTAAAATTATTTTTAAAAATGTTTTTTTTTAAAAAGCAAATAGACCATATCTTTTTCTAAAAAAAAAAATTAAAACCGATTTTTTTTAATTATTCTTTTTTTTAATTCTACGTTTTCTTTCGGTTGAACTATCAATGTAAACGTTTCTCGAAACCCATGTCTAGTATTGATTTTATAATACACAAATCTACCCCAAGCAGAAACCTCCCCACGTGTAATTTCAGCAAAATTTATTCAAATCGAAAAATTCTCTTTTTTATTAAAAAAAAAATAAATAATAATAATAATAATAAATAAATCAATTCAACTAATAAAATACTAAATTTCTTTATTTAGAAATATTTTTCATTTAAATGCAAATTTTTCTGAATTAAAATAAAAGTAAGTAATAAAAATTACAATCTTTTTACTAGGAATACAAAAATGTTCTATTAACAAAAATAAATAAATAAAAAATAAAAAAATACGATTACCCATGCACGTGTTCTAGTCTTTAATTATTCATTAACCGGTATAAAAAAAATTCCTAATTTACAATTCTCTTTTTTAACAATGTAATACAGTTATTAACTATTTTTAACTTAAACATTAATATTCTAAATCGCATTTTAATAATTTTGATAAAGAACAAAATTAAATTTCCAAAAATCAAGTGTAATAAAAAATCCATTAATGATAATAATAATAATTATTATTATTGTTATTTTTATAAAATTAAAAATACTATTATAAAAAAGTATTAAATTAAACATAATAATAAATTAACAAAAAATTGAAAATCTAACGGCTTTAACTCTCAAGCGCAAAATTATTGATCGTTAAAGATGAGAAACAAATTTTTTTTCCCTCAAAAAATGAAAGGGAATCAAAAATAATTAACTAATTAATTAAATAATTTTTCAAATTACCTGATTTCCATTGTGAAAACGTCTAAAAATATTATTTCCTATTTTTGTTAATTTGAGATTTTTCACACCATGATAAATAATTTCTTTGTACATTTTTCGCACTTTTTTTAATTAACTTCTTTTTTCCGTAATTGACGCACAATATCCAATATTAATAATACACTTATATTTTTTCTTTGCTAAAAATTTTTCTTTGATTTTATCAATACAATAATTTTTTTTTTTGTAACGAAGAAAGAAAATTATTTTCTTGTTAAAATTATTTATAGTATTAAATATTATTTTTATTATTAATATTAATCTAGAGTGATAAATTAATTGATTTATTTTCTTTTTTTGATAAATATATTTTTTGCAATCACACTCACGCACTAAACGACAAAAATCACATATAATATATAGACGCTCAACGTCTCAAAGTCTAGACACTACTGTTTCTGGTTCTGGGATGTTCACTCTGGTTTGAATAGCGAAGGGCTGAAAAGAAGACAGACCTGGGTCGCCTAAATCAAGACATGCGCGATTTCAGCTTTGATATGCGTATACTAAAATACTTTGAGAAAAATTCCTCAGGTAAACGTATTAAATCAGACTCTATTAATTTTCACTTGAATTTGTAATATTATTTTTGTCAATAATCATTTATTTTTCTATTTCTATTTTCATTTTTTCCAACTTGAAATTGCTCCAAAAAATTCCACCCCTGAATATATTTTGAACAATAGAAATTATTTTTGCAGAGTAATTATAAATTTATTTTTAGTATTTGAATTTTGAATTTAAAAAATTTTTAGAATCATTTAAATCGTAAAATTTTAATAATTAATTATTAACTTAATAATGAGTTGTTATAATTATTTATTAATTAAATTATTCTAAATTATTAATTAATTAATATAGTATTGTATTATTATTCAATTATTAATTATTATTCAATTATTTTCATGAATAATAAAATTCTATAAAGGAATTCGATTATTCTCATAAATAATAAAATGTTGCGGAGGAATTCAATTATTTTCAATATTATTTCAATTCTGATAAAAAAATTCTTCGAAACAATTCAATTATTTTTATAAATTGTAAAATTCTTGTCAAGAATTCAATTATTTTTGAAATAATTGAATTTTTATTAATTTCTCCTTCTGAGAAATTCAATTATTTTCAATACAATTTTTTAATAAAATTTCTCTAACAGGTTCAATTATTTTTAAAAATTGCAATAAAATTTTTCTAAACAATTCAATTGTTCTCAAAATTTTCAATTAAAATTATTTTAAAAAATTACATTATTTTTACAATGAAATTTTTCAAAAAAAAAATGTAATTATTTATAAAAACTATAATAACATTTTTTAAATGAATTTAAAATTATAAATTACAAAAACACGATTATTTTAAAAACTTAAAAGAAAATCTTCATAAAATTCAATTAAATTTTCAGTAAAAATTATTAAAGAAAACTCCATTATTTTTAAGAAAATTAAAATAAATTCTTCAAAATAATTCAATTATTTAAAAAAATTTTAATAAAAATCTTCCCAAGAATTAAATTATTTTCAATACAATTTTAATTACATTTACTCGAAATAATTCAATTCTTGAAAAAAATGTTGATTATAATATATAATTATTTGTATTGTAATTATGAACGAAGTAAATTTAACTTGTAAATTCATTTAATTATTAATTGTTATTTAATAATTACACACAAAAAAAGTTTCGAATTTTAGAATATTCCTTTTCTTTTCCCCCTTTTTTGCTTTTGCAAATAGATAGTGATACTAAAGTTTTCCTTTTTAATTGAGAGAATTTTCCTCTTTCATATTTGTTATTAAATGTCACGAAAATAAAAAAAGTTTCAAAACAATACAAAAAATTTGTAAATATTGGAGTGAGCTAATAATTTTATTCAATCACAAAATAATTTACAAGAAAAATCAACAGATTCGTAAAGATATAAAAAAAATTCTACAAATAAAATAAAAAATTTATTTATTAAGCAAACTTTTGTTATCTTAGTATTGAAATTAAAAAATTTGAAAACATTACAAAAAAATTTAAGAATAAATAAGTGCTAATAATATTTTTAATCAATAATAATATTAATTTAATTAATATTATTTTTATTTTATTAAAATATTAATTACCTAAAAATTAAAATATTTCATTTTTGTTAATTTTAACGTTTTTTTCTATAAATAAATAAATTAAAATTTTAAACGCGACTTGAAAAGACATTTATCGTTGTAAAAAAATATTTTACGATTTACGAGCCTTCTAGTAAATTTGTATGTAATTACCTACTCCGTATATCAAACAAATTGCAAATATTTTTTTTTCAATTTCAATAATTCATCGAGTTTTTTCTTTCTTTTTTGATGATATTATTTGATTTCTGAGAAAGCGTTGAATTTTCATGAAAAGTTTTGAAATAACTTGGAATAATTATAATTATAAAGTGATTAAATTTTCCATTAATGAAAAGCATAAATTTTGTGCCCCACATTAGTTGCGGATATATCAGAAATAGTCAATATTCCAGGAAAATTTGTAATTAGTCAAATATGATATTTTCTAAAGATAACTCCTTATCAGAATAGGAATATTTTATTCTCTAATTGAAATTAGATGACAACATTTTTTTATTAATAAAAACCTTTAATTTTCATATTTCGACTTTGTAATTTATTTTTTATTTTCATTTTGTTTTCTATAGGTATTTATTTATTTATTTATTTATTTATTTATTTATTTATTTATTTATTTATTTAAATATCACAATTCTCAATCGTCGCAAATTTTTTTTAATTTCCATTTGCATTTTATTAAAAATGATATTTTAATAGATTAAAAAATAATTTTTTTGTTTACTTTTATTTTATTGAAAAATGGCACAATTTTTATTTCTCTAGAATAATAGATAGAAATTTCTTTGAATTTATCGGAAAATTAAGTAAATAAAAATGTTTTCAGTAAAATAGTGTTACCTCATGACAATATTCTAATTACTTTTACCCACAATTTATTTTTACATTCGTAATATTTATTATTTAATTTTATAAACAATTTTCCATTTATAGTCTCTTTTTCAAAATATTATCGCACAACTAGATTAGGTAATACTTATAAGAAAAATTTACACCTTTTTCCCTATAAAGTTCAAAACTGTCAAGGCCTTCTCAATCCCAGTAAATTTAGAATCAACAACACAAAATGTGTTTCTCTAAATAAAAATATTTTGAAAATAAAAATAGTTCGGAAAACTATTATCAAAGTAAAAAATTGAAATTTGCAATAATAATAATTATTCAAAATAGTTTTTCGGATAATTATCAACTGAAAAATTATTATTTTCATTGATATTATTTATAATATTATGTTATTATTAATATCATTAATAGATTTATTCTCTTTTAATTATTATTATTAATATTAATTCTTTGTACTATTATTTGTAGCAAACATTTAAAAATTAAACGACAAAAATGACTCCAAAAATATTTACATGAATATATTTTCAAACAGAATGTTGATTCAGCCTGAAAACAAATTTTTCTAGAGTGAAAAATATGTATAAAAAAAATCAAAGTTTCATAATTAAAGTGTCAATATAGAAAAAAAATTTTTATTTACTATTAATTCGTTTAAAACGTAATAAACAAAATTTGAGCAAATAAAAAATGATGTAACACTAAATCGTATTATTTTTATCGAAAAGAAAAAGACAAATAATTATTTCGTAACTTTTATTTGAATTTTTATTGTCATTTTCTACATTATTACATTTTAAATAATTAAAATGAATATTTTGTCAAATATTATTCGACATTTGAAAAATAAATTTTCAGTCGAACAATTGAAATTTATTTATACTTAAAAAATATAAATATATAATATATAGTCTAAACTTTCTCATATAATTTTCGAAATTCATATAAATTAGCAAATAATTAGTATTATCAATTAATTCTTAATTTTAGTATAAAATAATCATTAAATGTTAATTAGGAAACTATTCATTTGGATTGCAATGGAAAATTAATATTTTGACGGAATTTCCCCAATTATTAATTTTGGTATAGTAACTTTAATAAATGTCAATTAAAATGCAATTAACAATTTCCAATTACATTTTAATTTTATTTTTGTTTCAATAAGAGGAAATATTAACTAAGTATATTAGAAATGAAACTTATTTAATTTTGTATTAAAAGAAAATTACCAAATTAATTAATTTTGTACAAAAAAAAAATTAAAAGCTACAAAATTAATTGATTTTTGTAAAAAAAATGTAAACAATATAAATTATAATTTTTAGTATAAAATAAAGTATTGATGAATATTGGATAATATTAATTATAACAAATATTATTTTTAATAGAGATTAATTTTTAATAGCGATTAATTGTTAATACCAATTAATTATTAATTTGCGTTAATTTTCATTTTTTTTGAGCTGTTGCGTTTCTTAAATTGCTCCTCATTTTTTAACGAGACGAACAATTTTCTACATAATAGTTTCAAAATTACTAGAAAAAAAAAGAAAAAGAAAATTGACGACTTCGGTAAATAATTAAAAATGAATTTTCATTAAGAAAGCAAAGACCTGTAAAGCTCGTTTAATAGTATACAATAATAATAATTGCAAGTAATATATTTTTCTAAGTGGCGTGAAAGGCGCATGACTATAATTATATGAGATTCTTAGTTGATTATCAAAATAAGTTTCTCAATTTTTTTGAGAATTATCTCAAATTTAATTATTTATGCAAAAAAAAACATGAAAAAAATTGGAAACTATCTTAAAATTAACTCTACTGGTAAAAAATACGTTTACCAGAAATATTGCAGTTTTTCGGTACAAATTATTGTATTAAACACAAAAAAAATGGACAGTTCTTCAATTAGACTACAACTTATTGCTAATGATATTTAATACTTTGGTACTTTTCTTACGCATATTTTGCCGTATCAAAAAAAAAAAAAAATGATAATTTATTGTCTACTGGACAATTTTTTTTTGTTCCGTTGCTTAAAAACAATGTTTTTGTATTTTTTCGCATGGCATTAAAACATCAAGAAAGAAGGTAAAAAAGGGTAAAAAAGAATTAAACAGAAAGTTAAAAAGTATAAAAAAAGATTAAAAAAAGATTTAAAAAAGGTTTAAAAAAAGGTAGAAAAAAGTTTAAAAAAGGCAAAAAGATAAAAAAAATTAAAAATGTACGGCGTTGAACACTAGAAGCAAAATTGCTCAAGATCCTTAAAATATCACAATTTAAACTGTGCAAAAATTCTAATTGTATGTCGGTCATCTAATTAACACGAAGATGATTGTCTTCTTTGTACATGAAGGGATTATTATTATTATCATTATTATAATTATCAATAATCTTATTATTAATATTCCTAACATTATTATTGTAATTATAATTAATATTATCATTA